TCTCTCTACCTCTCCCCCCCCCCAAAAAAAAAGCGGCTATGCAACTACCGTATCTTGTAAATGAAAAATGAAAAGGCTGATTGTATGGTACGGTACGGTATGGCACTGTTTAATAAGGTGCGGTATGGCATTGTAAGGCTTGGTATGGCATTGTAAGGTATGGTGCGGCATGATAATTATATATCGCAATTTCAAACACATTACCTTCAATTACGAGAAGGTCAGTAATCTGTACTGAGAAAGAATAAAATCGACAGACAGGAAAGACAAAGGAAGGATAAGCAAGTAAGACCTACCAATGGTAGCTTTCAACTGCCCATTAAACAAAATAAATAATACACTTACATGATCAAGAGCATTTTACTCTCATAGCAAAGGACACATAGGCACATCCGCAACAGAGCCAACGCTGTTATGCCACTACTGATGTAATACTTGCTCGCGCGTCGCTTTTATTAAGGTGAATCAGACGCCTTTTCCCCACAGGACAAAAGGAGAAAAGAAATAAAAAAGATACCCATGTTCTAAAAGAGGTAGAATTTTCTAACAAAGCTCTACAAAAGAAAATCGGCAGATCAAAGGTCATATTTCTGTATGGCTGGAGATATAATATTATATTTATTAAGGTGTTGTGCAAACTCATGAAGCCATTCGACTAGTTGGATGATCGGAACGATTCTACAGATTGGTCTGAGTACACTTATTGATAAATAGAAATCGACATGATAAATTTTGATTTCTATAAGATATGTGCAACCCCTCTTAGGCTCTCCTTTTCAAGGAATGACAGACAGACCCTTTTCCATTTTCAAAGTCTACCTAGATTCCAATTAGATCACCAAATGGAAATGCTGCATCAACCCAGTGAAATCCGGTTGGAACGGATGAATTTAATATCGCAGATGTTGAGAATTTCCTTGAAAGGAAAAGAAATCAAATGAGGTAGTACTTGAAGAAACCCATGAGGACTGCTCTTTGATTTAAAAAACCAACAACAACCAGGGACAGACAAATGCAGTTTCAGGGGACACTTGAATAGGCATAAAGGCCTTGAATATCAAGTTGTCACTAGAAAAAATGAAGGCAAACGATGCAGGGGTAGACCCAGAGCAACTTACTTGAAGTACCTAAACAGACGGATGACGGGAAAAGATCAGGATGATGTAGTTTTTTTAGAGCA